GCCGAAGCTCGGACCGAGTCCCATTTGGAGGTTCCGAGCCAAAAATTTAAATTAAAGTTGCCTGTGTGAGACAGCTACAACTGTAGCTGCCTCACACAGGCAGCTACGTGTAGTTGCCTGTACGTAGCTGCCTCACAGGCAGCTTGGAGTTTTGCCTGCGTGCAGGCACTTTAAGGGCCTGCACGCAGATGGCGTGTACGCAGATGAAATTTTTTTTAAATGAAATGTTTTGTCAAAAATTTAAATTTATAAATTAAATATAGTTAAAACGGATATATTTTTTTCTATAAATACGAGAAAATTTTTATAAATTCATATCAAGCTATCTCATATTTTCTTTACGCAATATTCAAATTCCAATTGAGCTCTCAAGTCTCAACTTTCTTTACTCAATATTCAAATTCAGTATTATACTCTCAAATTTCTTTTACTCTTTTTTTCAATATTTTTTACTATAAAAAAAAATCCGAGCCGGCTCGGCCCGCTAAGGCTCGAGCCGAGCCTCATTTTTTTTGGCTGGGCCTGGCTCGGCTCGGGCCAAAAAAAGCTCGGTCCAAAAAAGCTCGGGCTCGGCTCGGCTCGTTGCCACCGCTACACATGTGATGCATCTCTAGAAAAAAAAATCAGTACTCTCGGAGTAAGAAGTATTTCTCCATCGACGTGTGAATAAAATAGTTGAAAATCACTATTTAATTGAGACTAAAACATGATGAACAATACATATATCAACTAAATACTAACATGAAATACTAAGTAGTGAGCCCTATTCTAGCCTTATTTTTTTTTTGTAAGAAATGGGTCTGGTAATTGTGATTTTTTAGAGAATATGTGATTAAAAAGTATAAAAAATTTTGAATTTATTTATAAATTTATTTTATTGGAAGGATATATTATTATTTTCAGAAAATTGGCATACGCTGAATATCATATTTCGAAAATGAGTAATGCTACTTGCAGTCGTCTTATGTGGCATACACATGGGATGTAGTTATTTGATGCATTAATGTGATAATTTTTGACCATATTTAATGCATCAAATACACACTTAACACGTGTGTGCCACATAGGACGGTTGATACAGTGAACGACTGCAAGTAGCATTATTTTTAGAAAATACTAAAAAATCTAGCATACTCAAGTGGTAAATAGAAGATGGTGCAAATCACGGAGTGATTGGCGCTGCACCTGAATTCTGTTCAGAGAAATCAGAACATAAAAGTCTCAATAAGGGGGCCCATCAACACAGCCCAGTACGAGAGTGATGTGGGACAACTTCTCTTTCCAATCAAATTCCTATTTTCACGTGGGAACACGAATCAAAAACGGCACGAGTGCTCTGACAGTGTACATTTTTTCTTCACAGTGGTAATCACGCGCCGGCTGTGTAGGTGAAGTTGGGGATGGAGAGTAAATTGTGCCTTAGTGCGGCAAATTATTTGGGCCGGCAACTGTATTGGACAAACTGACAAAGGCATATCTAAGTACTGGCCCCATCATACTGTCTTTACTGGTTTGAACCTCATTTTCCAAAGTGGAACTTACAACAATTACCCTTAAAGATTAGGGAAAATTGCGGTCGTGGTCCCAAACCTTTTATTTTGTTGCAGATTACACCCAAACCTTTTATTTTTACGATCAAAGTCCCAAATCTTTATATGTAATTTCACGTGGGAACACGAATCAAAATCGGCACGAGTGCTCTGACAGTGTACATTTTTTCTTCACAGTGGTAATCACGCGCCGGCTGTGTAGGTGTAGTTGGGGATGGAGAGTAAACTGTGCCTTAGTGCGGAAAATTATTTGGGCCGGCAACTGTATTGGACAAACTGACAAAGGCATATCTAAGTACTGGCCCCATCATACTGTCTTTACTGGTTTGAACCTCATTTTCCAAAGTGGAACTTACAACAATTACCCTTAAAATTAGGAAAAATTGCGGTCGTGGTCCCAAACCTTTTATTTTGTTGCAGATTACACCCAAACCTTTTATTTTTGTGATCGAAGTCCCAAACCTTTATATGTAGTTATAGCGTCGGTCCCAAGCATTTAATTCCGTCCATAAAACCGTCAGTCAACGGTTTAATAGTAATTTTGACTCGAAAAAATTGCAACGTTGGTCCCAAACCTTTCATTTTGTTGCATATTACACCCAAACCTTTAATTTTTGCGGCTGAAGTCCCAAACCTTTATATATAATTACAGCGTTGGTCCATTTCACGCATTTCGTCCATAAAATCGTCAGTCAATGTTCAAATAGTAATTTTAACTCAAANAAACAGTAATTTTAACTCAAATGAATCTTAATTGATAAGTATTTTAAAAATAAAAAATATTGTGTAAAACTAAGTGAAAGAATTTTTTTTT